AGAACTAAAAGGGGCCTTGCATGTGGCAGAACCATGTCGTGAAATCAGTCCTCAGGAATGTCAGAAAAACCACCTGAAAAATGGGAATCTAAAGAATCCTATGACTTTATTAACATATTATGAGCTGTTGAGGAAGGAAGCTCAGGGGAATGAGGGGGCAGTGTGGCAGGCCAGCCACACTCAGTCGTCCACCGTGTCCTCCACAGTGTCAGGAGTGAAAGCTGTCAGATGTTACCTGTCTTATTCACAGCTTGTGTTCACAGTTTCTTTCTTGCCTTAGCCAGATAAACATTAGTGCCAAGAGTGTTTGTACCTACCTCACAGACTCAACCTTGGTGGTTCAAAAACCATTCTTAGGGGCTGGGTTCATATGCGATTACATCTCCAGGAGTCTTTTCTCAAATTTCAACTTTGAAAGTTGGCTCCCCTCCATGCCTAACCAAAACTAATGCAATGGAAACTGTTGAGTTCCTCTTGGTTTCAAATTGCTGCTCTTCAAGCCCATTGTTCTTTGCATGATTTTTATCCTTAGCTTTCTGTTGGCCCAAGTTGGCTTGGAATAAGTCCTCTAACTACCAAAAAGTTCATGAATCTCATGCAGAAAAACAAAATCTTCAAGTCTGCCTTTAATTTCAGGTTTGTCTTTTGAGGGTTGTTTTATCCAGCTTTTCTTTCAAATACTAATGGAATTACACATTTTATTAATATCTTAATTCTACAAACGATAAATGAAGAAGGGGAATGAGTGATTGGAAAGTATGATAGACAGGAGTTCCTTGACTTAAAATCATGAGCATCAGCAATTTTTCTGTCATTCGCAGGGCTTTGTCTGCAGATGGTCTTGGGTATTACCACTAATGGCTGATTATTGCACTGTATCAGATGCTTGTTATAAACAAGTTGAATCAACAGTAAGAGAAGTTGAAAGTTAAGTCTCCTTACTTCAAAACTCCAAACAAGAGAAGAAAATATTCCAAAACAGAAACGAAAGAGATGTATGTTTAGGAATCAGTTCAGTGAACAGAACTTGGACTTCATAAGAGTTCTTTATCTTCTTGAGTCAGTTTGCCAAACATGTTCTTGGAAAACCTCTAGCCTGATGCATCCATTTTTCTGTGGGAAAGAAAGAGGTTGGCCTTTGGAATCATACTATTCAAAATTAACTGTAGAAGAGGCTGGAACACCCTTAATACTGGAGGTCACCCTATATCTTCCAAAAGGGTCACTGAAAAACTGATTTCTCAAAGCATGTCTTCATTTCTTTTGTGCTATGAAAAGGCCACTTTTGGGGATGCCATGTTGTTTATTTTCTAGCCTTCCATTTCACACTTTTCTCCCTTTAATGAGTATTTTCCCTACTTTAAGCATTATAGCCTTTTCATTTCTCAATATATCCTTATTATGGGAAAATAGAAATAAATGTTTACTCTAATATTGGATCAACTAGAGTCACTTGCTCAAATTTGACACATAGGACACTTATTTCTTAAAAATCTGCAGACTCTTTATGAGAGCTGGCTCTGATCTGCTTTTTCCATCTTTAGGCTGGAAAATTCAAATTTAATATTCGACTGGCTTTGCCCCTACTCATCCAAATCCAACATTTGAGCTGGATTAGATAAGCCGCTGAGTCACTTCCCAGCACTATGTCTGTATTCATATATCCACAATCTTCCCATCTAGTAAATTTTATAGAAAGAAATGGGTCCTTTTTATATATGCTCAGACAGTCAGGTTTATAAAATAAGGACTCCTTTATTGGACTTTATGATTTCTGAGATGCTGCCCTGTGCATTTTTGGTTGGCTCTCTGCTCGTGTCATCTGGATATAAAGTTCTTTCATTTAATATTTTTCCAGCTTTAAGAACTGCTTATCTGTAGTTCGTTGAACTTGGCATCACCTCCAAAATACATAACCAAAGAAACAGAACCTGGAGAGCTTATAAGCAAATCTCAGAAGCTGTCCAAGCATCTCCTGT